TATATATATACGATTGGTTACATCATTTTCTATATTTTGCACTTAATCTTAACCATTCTCGATTCAATTCAATTTACGATTCACCAAATTAGGATTTCAATTCATGATGCAATTTTCAATTTCACAACTACCTGTGTGAACAATAATACATGTTGAAGAAGTTTAGTTGATGTACTAACTCAACATTATTCATCTAGGTGGAAAAATCTGAAGCACTACTCATAACAAGTGAACCAAAAAGAAGTACATCAAACATAAGAATATAAAACAGGAACTAACAACAAAATCTATAATAAAAACAAAATAAATAATAAAATTTATAATACTGATCATAAAAACCATATACAATTCACAAACAAAACCTATATCCCACAATCCAAATCGAACCAAATTTGAGAAAAATCAAAGCAATTGAGAAGAAAGAGAAAAGCGATTACCAAGTGATGAGGCTCCTCAAAACTTCGAGTCTAAGTGACCAATCTGATGTGAAATGAAAAAAGCCCTAGAAGGAGATGATTAGGAGATACAGAGTCAGAATTAGGAGATTTGGGAACGATGATCGATCGAGGTTTGTCTGTGAAAATTGGATTTTCCAAAGAGGGGAATTAGATTTTTCGATTGGGAAAAGGAATTGGATTTGGATTTGGATTTGGATTTGGTTTATTATATATATATATTCTTCTCGATGAAGATTTCAAGTTCTTCCCTTCAGCAAGATGATCGTGTCTGGGGAAGAAGAAAGAATATCTAGAAAAATCAATCAAAAGGTTTAGGGGGGAATTAGTAAGGTCTTTTTTTTATTATTATTATCAATATCTCAAAGTTCTCCCTTTAAAATTAGTGATAAAAAAATTTTTTCATTAAAAATTTGAAAATATTAAAATTATTAATAACAAAAATATATTCTTCATTAAATAGTTTTAAAACATTTAAAATCAAATTTTTTTATTAAAAAATATTTAAAATTATTGGTGACGAAAATATATTCTTCACTAATAATTTTAAGATAAATTACAAACACACCCCTTGAGATTTGTTTAAAATACATATTACCCTTTGTGATTCTAAAAATTATATCCCGCCCCCTAAGATTTTTAATTTCATAACGAATAACCCCTTTTAATATCAAATTAATTAATAGTTTTTAATAATGTTAAAATTTTATTTCAAGTAATAATTCAGGTAATTTTATTATTATATTAGACAGCGGTTAAGAATTTTATTTTTTCACAAGAGGATATTTGTAATTTTTCAAACCACATGGAACAATTCGTATTTTAAGTAAACCTCAGGGGGTGCATTTGTAATTTATCCACAATCTTATAATTGATGACAAATTTTTTTTTCACCAAAAGTCTCAAAATTTTGGTGCCACCCAAAAAAATTAGAGAGAAAACTTTTAGTGACGAAATTTAATTTTTTCTCACATAAAAATAAGAATTTATTGACAAAAATAAATTTCTACACCTAATATTTTTATTTTTTTTATTATATGTGACAAAATTTTATAATTTGTCACGGATTATTCTTATTTAGTGACGAAATTTATTTTCTTCATTATTTTTCGTCACCATAGGTTACTTAAAGAGCTAATTAACTTGTGTTTTGTTCACACAGAGAGGGAAGAGGAAAACTGATAAACAACAAAAAAAAAAAAAGGAAAAAAAAAGTTAATAGTCTATTTTTTTTCATTACACAATATGTCAAAATTTTCCATCAAAAATTAGTGACGAAATAATTTCCTCACTAAAAATCTCAGTCTTGACTTCATAGAACGTCAAAAATGCCATAATTTTCATAGAAAGATCGGGCAATATGACTAATTTAGAAAATCCTAAATTTTATTTGATATTTAATTGTCAATTATACCAGTTTATTGTTAACGTACCATAATTTAGAACATATAGTGTACCACATTTCTATTATCATTATACGTATTAGAATGATCTACTAGGCGTAAGCATAGTCCAGTTTGGATCGGTTTGGGATAACATCAAGAGCAATCCATTGTCTACGGTTTCATAAAAATTAGAAACATACCAAACCATTAAAATTATGGAACCAATCTAAACCAAACCATTTAAGTATTTGTTGACGAAAATAAATTTCATCACCTATTATTTTTATTTTTTTATTGTATGTGACAAAATTTAATAATTCGTCATGGATTATTCTTATTTAGTGACGAAATTATTTTCTTCACTATTTTTTGTCACCATAAGTTACTTTTGTTGTAGTGATAATAGCATGTCCATCAAACAAATTACTCTCATAATATTCACTATTTAAGCAAAAGTATAAGGAAAATTTAGCCCAAACCAGGGAAATTCTATTTCCACACACGTAATTACCTCAGTTCACATATTTAATGAAATATTATTTTAATGACAATTATACCCTAAATTAAAATGACCATGATGGACATCCACTAACACCCATAATATTATATCAAAATATTCTTTGTACACATCTTTTAAAAATAAAAATAAAAACTTAGTGTACATATTTTTAGTAAAAAAAAACTAAACCCCAGTTTCTTCATTATTTGTCACTTCTTCCATTGTTTTTGACTTTGCTTGCTACACACTCTATACTCCTCTATTGCTTGTAAAGCAATACTCTTATAACAACTCTCATATTGCTTTACTCTCTAGGTTTATACTCCATTATTTATATTATTTTCTCATTAGTTCTATAATTATTCTTGATTTTATTATAGAAGAGTTACAAACCAATGGAAGTTCAAAATTAAGTAAAAATATGCCTGATGACAGCTAAAGCAGTAATGAAAAGGTTAGTTTTTTCGTGCAAATTTTTTTTCCCCACAATTAATTCGAAAAACCAATGCTGAAATATTCTATTTTATTCAAAACTACAGTGGTGAACAAATTAGTTATTTCGGAACTACAGTGTCGAAAAAAATCAATCTATTTCGGAAACCAAGTGTCGAATTAAAAAAGAAATTTTGGAAAACTAGTGCCGAACTCCCAAAATCACAATTCTTCAAGAAAAAAACGAGAGTTTATTCTAATTTGTCAATGCACTTGACAGAGAAAACGAAATGCTACCAAATGCGATAACAAAATTGAAACAAAGTAATATTTAATAGATTTCAGAACTAGAGTGTCGAATGGACGAGGAGGGTTTTCAATAGAGTTATTGTCAATGGAGGTTCTTTAATGGAGGGTCTTAGGTCTTCAGTCTCTTTAATGGAGTTTCTTTGACTGTGAACCGAAATAGGGTAGACCGTTGCTCTTCAATTTTGAATAGGTGTGTGGAAAGAGGGTTAAGGTGGTGTGTGTACAAGATATGAGTTAAGAGTGTGATTGTAATAATTGGTGTGTGGAATGAGAACAAAAATTAATAATGACATTACTAAGTATGTGCACTGAGAAAGGATGTGCATTGAGGTAGCTATGTAGAAATAGAATTTCCCCAAAACCCCTCCATTAGACCCTTGTTTGGTGAAAAGAACAACCCAATTTATTTTGTTTCATAAACTCCATAAATAGGAAGCACATAATTGAGTAAAGACAAAATAATTTTTTTTTTCGTTTTCTTGGACAATATTGCCCATGCATATATATATATATATATATTACATACCTCTTCTAATGAGAAACACTAGTATTTTATTTTATACAAGTTTAAAAATGTTGTCTATGTGTATTTTTGGTTGGTTCATCTAGTATGTACTCTGTTTTTTTGTGATAGTAAAATGTTACTATGAACCAGAGTAATATGTTACTGTGAATAGCGTAACATATTACTGTCAAACAGAGTAACATATTACCGTTTACATCAATTTCGATGGTGTTTTTTTGTTATTTTTTATTTTTTAAGAATTTCATAGTCAACATGGATCTTGTTTAATAGATCTTGATGAGAAGATTCTAAAAATGCTAATTTTATTAAAAACTAACATTTAGATCAAAAGTTATATTATTTTAAAATTTAAAATATTAAATTACTCACTAAATATATTTTGGTAATAGTGGCATATGTTGGACTTTTCAAGAAAAACTTTTTATGCTTCTCCTTAATGCATTAAAGTTTTATTATGAGGGGCTTTGATCAAACTCTCCAAAATATATTATTAAGCAAATATTGTTCAACATTAATCAGTCATAATTTTTCAAAACATAAACTTAAGACCACATCTTTGAGTAGATTGATGATTTTCCTTGGATTGTAACTGTTTTTTTGATGGATTTGTTTTTTGTTGTTTGTTTTTTGGTTAGGATGGCCCTTTAGGGTCTTGTTTATGTATTGTTGTTGTTTCATTAATATAATGTTTCTCATGTTCTAAAAAAAAATTAAATAAAAATAATATCTAACAAATAAACAAATATGGTTATACAGTTTGGTTTGGTTCAAATCCAGAACTATAGATGTAAATCCAAAACTAATCCACGAAGACCGGTTTCCCAATTTTCCAAACTAGAACTGAACCACGAATTAAAAAGACCAAACCAAACTTACCAGATTGGTCTAGACCGGTTCAGTTTATAAATTTTTTGATTTTCTTACTCGGCCCTATGATCTACAGCCTAGGTAACATAAGTTGCATCAAAATAACTACAAATTGAGGAGATATTTAAGGAAAAATCAATATATATCCATGAAAAATCTAAGAATGTGGTGACAAGAAGAGAGATTCATATAAAGATTAGAATGATATATTGCTACTGCAGAATCAAATTGAATGATTTAGAATGTAAAATGTAGATTTTAATATTTCAATATTTGCAAGGTGTTCATTGTCAGTGGGAGGAGTTTGAGAAGGTTCCTGATGCTTGCAAGGCTCAGTTACTGCTGTTTAGTATGCTTGCTTGGATGGCTATTTTTTAGCTTCTAGGATATATCCTTGGCTTGCTTTTCTTTCTTTTATGCTCTTTTATGGCTTACTCTTGTTTTTAGTTCTTTGTTTGTATTGCAACTTAATGTTTTTATGAATAAAGTTTCTGATTTCTCAAAAATTGCAAAAGCAGAACATTTACCTGCACATCTACAAAGAAAATTACAATAAAATATAATCATAATTGAAAGTTTTAAACCAACAGAGATGCAATAAGACAACATGCAATGACAACTTTATTATAAGGGCGAATTACAATAACGGTCCCCATAGTTTGGATCTTGTGTCACTTTGGTCCATAACTTTTCAATTGTAACACATTTGATAGCACCTACCAAAATTCTTTGAACCCCCCATTTCTTTGGACCCCCACCCTAAACCCTAAATTTTAATAATATTTTTTTGGACACCCCACTTATTACCAAATCTACCCATATTCATAATATTTTCACAATGAAATGCACACCCACCTGAATCCATTCCAACATTAACCTTAGCCTAAATCCACAAGTAAATGCACGCAATTCACACCCCCAACCACACCCACTCTCTGCCTCCCTCGCTTCTCTCTCTCTCTCCTCATCAGTGATGTCTCTTCTCTCTCTTTTCTCTCTCTCTCTCTCTCTCTCTCTCAAGACCCCTTTTGTTCATATGAGAAAGTGAAGATTTTTCTCTCTCTTCTCTCTCTTTTTTCTCTCTCTCTCTCTCTCAAAACCCCTTCAAAACCCTAGCTTTTTCTCTCTCTTCTCTCTCCAACATTAACCACATCTAAAAAGTGGTTACTAAAAACACAATGCATTTACTTGTGGGGTTGGTGTTCTTCGTCGATTGGGATTTCGATGACGTGGGTCTCTTTGGAATTTGCCATTGATTGGGAAATTCAGATGAGAAAGTGAAGATTAATGAGAATTGTAGGAATAGAAAACAATGTATTATATGGAAAACTAATCTCCATAATATTTCCATAATATTTTTAGAATAGAAAACTAATCTCTATATTTTCACAATGAAATGCACACCCACCCAATTTGTTCACTACTGTGTAGCCGAAAAAATATATTTTGTTCAGAACTGTTTTGTCGAACAATAATGATCCTATCAGTACTGTATGTCCGAACAAAATTTGTTCATCACTGTGTAACTTGAATCCATTCCAATTCACAACTTAAAATAACATGAATTAAATCCATTCAAAATACATAACTTAAATTTATTCCAATTCACTCTTTTCCATTCTAAGTTAGTTTAACAAAGAAAATTACATAACTGACTATTTGCATTAATGTTCGGAACCTATGTATTGAACGAAAGGATTGTGTTCAGTACTTTATTACCAAACATAATTCTAACAATCAGCAAACCAGTACCGAACAGCGCGAACGAAACAAGAACGACCGAAAATGACCGAGAATGTTAATACAAGACAGATAAACGACTGAGAATTTTATCCTCTTCCTCCATTGCTCTACACAGTGAAATAAGTGATGAAGTATACGTTATACTTGAAGCAAAACTTTCAAGTTCAATAGCGTTGATGATGGTGATGAAGATGACACATTCAGGATTTAAGATGATTATGAAAAATAATAGATTTAGGGATTATGTAACGCCCTCAAAATAATACATAAAACCCATTACCTTAGACATGCATTGATATAAAAGTAACCAACCATTTCTATTCATCAGAGTAATTCTTACAACTGTATTACATGATAACAACAAAAGCAAATGCCCTATGGGCTTACAGCTTTCCAAGTCAACACCTGGTTACACAAAAGAAGAGTACTAACTCTATACAAAATAAGCCCTTGGCTTGATATACATGTAATACAAACAAAATAAACAAAAAGAGTCTTCAACTCTCATCATCATCCAAGCTATGTCCTTGGAGGTGGCATACTACCTGTACCTGAAAATAACGTCCCATAAAGGGTGAGCCAACGCCTAGTAGAGATATGCTAAACACAGTATGAGCAATAACTAAGACATTAGCAATTGATAAATGTTCAATTTTCATAAACCAATTCATAACCCATTTCCATTTCATGACCACTATGTTCATGTTTCATTTCAATTTCCATTTCTTATCAATTTCACAGTTTACATCAATGGCTCAGAACCTGGCCAACCGCTTATATGAGACAATGACTCATATTAAACACTTCCCATTTTACAATAGATAAACATATTAGTTGTATCAACATCTCAACAGATAAGCATACAAGCTGTATCCACATTTCAATAGATATGCATATTAGCTATATCAACACTTCCAAAGATAAGCATAGGAGCTGTATCAACACTTCCATAGATAAGCATATAAGTTATATCAACACGTTAATTGACAAGCATATGAGCTGTATCAGTGGAGTCCATCCCCTCTCTCCTCCCAAACAACATTCGGTTTAGTGGTCCATCCCCTATCTTCCCCTAAACCGTGGAGTACATCCCCTATCTCCTCCCGCACACACAACGTATATACACAAAGGTCATATACACAATCAATCAATACATAACGTTATTATATTCTATCAACCGTCATACTCTATGACATATCCAATTGATTAGTTTTAGTTTGCCTAATCATCATGCATTGTCTACAACAATTAAAACTACCCTCCACCGATAGTCCAAGCAATTATTTCTAAATAGATAATAAAAGCTCCAACAGATAAAATATCAATGTTTTCAAAAGTGAGCGATTAACAAATCCAACACCACTATTCTACTATATAATGAGTCAATTTCATTATTTCCAACTCAATTCCATAAAATCACAATTTTCCCAAAATTAGGGTTTTCCACCCGATTTTCAAATATTGACCCCCAAATATTGACCCAATGGTCTAAATATCAACAACCAATAACGATATTATTATTTTGAACCCACAATACACATTTTAGACTCAAAATAACAAATCCTCTTTTAACATTTTGAAACCCTAAGTCCCAAATTTTACCCAACTTCAACACTTTATCAAAACAACCAAAAATCTATGTTAAAGACCATAAGAGTGAGTAGGAATCCCTACCTCAAATTCGGAGCTCAAGAGAAGAAGGTGAAGAAACTCAACGTGCTCCAAAACTCAATATTTTCGGATCAATGGATAGCCCTCGACGATCAACTCAACTTTTGCAAAGGCCGAAGGAAAAGGAAACACTCTAACTAGATCAAACCCTAGAGAGAAGGGAGTTTCTAGAGAGAGGAACTCTCAAAATGTCTTTTTAGAAAGTAAGAGAGAGAGAGAGAGAATGTAAAAAGTGATTTTAAAATGCCCAGCTGCCAACCGATATACGACATTCCCGCTCGAGCGGAGAACACAACCCTCGAGCGTCAAGAACAAAAAAACTAGGTACGCTCGAGCGCAAGAAGACCCGCTCGAGCGGACCTCCTAAAAACTAAGCGCACGGACCAACACAGCCTCCCGCTCGAGCGACCACACCTACGCTCGAGCGAAAATTTACAACTCTCAGAATCTCAAGCCGTTTGCAAAATTGCTGGGAACCCCAAAAGTCCGCTCGAGCGTCAATTCCCCTGCTCGAGCGGAAGAAAAAATTCTAGATCGTTACAAGTCAATTCCAGATTATCAAGCTCTTAAAGCTTTCAATTCTTAATCCAAACATTTTAATTGTGACAGATATGTCTCCTTATTCAACAGATATGAATCCATAGTCAT